GTTCAGCAGACCCAGAAAATGAGGCCTCCCCCATATTCTGCTCCAAGTACCATTCTTTAACTAAGCCTTTTCTAACAGATACACAACTGTGTGCCCTTTTTCTATTTTAAAAAAAAAAAAAAAAAATAAAAGGAAGCATATTAAAAAAGAAAATCAACCAAAAAATACTTCTGGCCAAACAAGACGCTTCCCTGAGCACAGGCAGAAGACGGAGTCGGCACAGTGTGCAGCACAGCTTAGCTACGCTGCTCACAGAAGAACAACCAGCTGGTGAGAGGCAGGAATGACCCTTCACAGCTACATTTCAGTGGTCAGTCGAATGCCCTGAACCCCAGTGAGGGACAGCCACACTGCTGTTCCACAGCAAGAGGGAAAGTACGCCCACAGCGGAGTAGGATGAGTTGGAAGACGAGATGAATAGAGCAGGGGGGCTGCTGTTGCCGTAGGGCATTTGGTGCCCTCTTAAGCACCAGTAATGGCACCTCAGCAGGTCTTCCTCACCACCCCCCAGCTTGGAGTTACCCCCCATTCTTCCTCTCCTCTCTCGGGGAAATACAGCACGAATGCTTGCAACCACGACCTGGGGGTGCACACGCACTGGGTGGGAGGGGAGGAGAAAGAAAAGGAAGATCATGGAATGTAATCCCCAGAGGGAGAGATTTCCTAAGTGCTGAATTAATGCCCATTTGAAAGGCTATTAGAGTGACGCACAAGGCTAAGAGCTTACATAAATAACAGAATATACGACTAGATATTATGGGAATTTTATCCATCGTCATGTGGATTACTCCAGAATCATAAGCCCAGCTGTGTAGCCAGAGGCCTGGCAATGCCAACTCTGAAGCATCCTGAATCTCTACGAGTGCTGCAAATCACAGGTAACGTCTCCTGACAGACAAGACCCTCAACCACCACGATGAAGTCAACAGCTCTCAGTGAACCAGCCTGAAAGTATAACTCATACGCTAATCTGATGTGATAAGGGCCTAGACGAAAACTTTTGGCTAACTGAGCTAACTCACCATGCTATGCACTTCAACTTTCCAACAGTCATACCATAAAATAATATCATTAATGCCTCCGAGGACACTTGTCATAATACCTTCTGAGGATATCCAAGAAGGTTTTTATGGATTGCAAGAGGGTGAGGATGCCCAGGAAGGTCTCCCACCTTTTACTATCATAGAGTCCATCAACACACTTTTTCTTTCAAATACTTATCTTGCTCACCTGCCCAAGGTAAGTACTCCTTTCTGAGAAGACTATTTGGTCTTTATTAATATTGCACTATGCTCTCTCACATTTCCCATGTGTTTTGACTGCAGAAATTTTGTAGCTTCAAGGATCACGTTGGGTCACTTCCCACTCACCGAAGTGGGTTTTTTTATTCCTTTACTCTCTTTGGGCAAACTGAAAGAATAATTTGGCCATGAAAAACTATTTCCCAACTGCTCAACTAGCACTTTACAGACACACCTGCATAAATATATTTTCCTGACAGAAATAATTACACAGAAAAGAACCTTTCATCAACAATTCCCCACCCCCAACCCCCCCCACCTTGTAATAATCCCAGCTGTTAAATACTTGCTGATAAGGAAAACAAACAACATTAAATTTGTGAGATTAGACATCCAATCTTCAGAAAAGCAAATTTATGGTTGATTGAAAACACTGGAGAAAGAATTCCTACAGAAGCATTCCTTGGCCATAGTGCCTACACCAATGCATCCCAATGGTATTTAATAAAAGCTATTGGCATCAGAAGAGGAACTCACTCTCTGTGTCATACAATCTTCCGTCTCTATGCCAGAGAAAAGTTTCCAGTTCGCAATTTTTGTAGTAGTAGTAGGAGCTGGATTGATTTTTTTCTTTCTTTCTCTCTTTCTGGAGGTCATTCTGTCCTTGAAAGCCACACAAACTGCCTCATTAGCACTACCTAAAATAAGACCTCTACTTGATAGCACAGCGAGAACTCCCCTTGCATTTGAAACCATCACCTCACAAAATTACAACTATCATAAGTATTTTTTTACTCGTCCAAGAACAATTAAATATAATTCAGATTTAAAACTAGAATTCTTTTTTAGTTCCTTTTAAGTATCACCACAAAAGGCATAACACATTTTAAATAATGGCTGGCAAAAATCCAAACTGAGGGTTCCACAGGCTTGTTCCATTAACCACAGGTGCAAAAAAGAAGATAACAAAGCAATAAATTTCAGGGGCCTCATAACAAATGAATTTTTTCTCCCTTACTACATTGCACTTTTCTCCCTTACTCTGTCAGATTCATCTTCATCTTTCTGTCCTGTTCCTGTTCCCACGCACTCAGCAGAGATCAAAGGCAAACTGACCTAGCTTTTTACTGTTTCAGTAATTGGTCTGTTTTCTGCATCTTTGAGTCACGGTACATATTGACATGCTATTAATACGCACCCTTTTTCACTAAGTCGGGAACTCCACGCACTTGATTCTTCTCTGCAGCAGTTACTCTCATGTCTTTTTTGAGACCCCCACCCCCGAGATATATCCTAGGACACTGCAAACATGTCTTACACCTAGTAACCGGAAAGCAAAGCCCTGAATTGCATACCAAATGACAACTGACTTTTCCCAGTGCAAACCCTGACCTCTCAGAAACACTGTATAGATCTATTCAAGACACAATTTGCCGCCTTTGGTATTTATAACATTTTAGCTCTTTGCTGAAATTGAAGAAAAAAAAAAAAAAAGACTTCAGAATATATGTTTCAACATTGGGAGTTGTCTGACATATTCCACAGTACTTGGCTTTTAAGAAAAGCACTGTAAAGTCACTCAGTTTATTGCATATGATGTGGAGGATGTTTATGCACATTGACCAGTTTCCCTCAGCTATCCACACTGCCTTTTGCAATTGAACGCAAAACTCATTAAAACAGTAAAAGACCAGAGGAAGATACCGAACGGTATTCATTTCACTATGTGCAGTGGTGGGTAAGAAGGCCACACAGTGAAAAACTACATTCTGTACACAATTTAGAGGCACATAGTTCTCCCAAGCAAGTCTCTTCTGAGAAGTCAAATTCTAACAGGGAAAATTAAAAAAAAAAAAAAAAAAGTAAAAGTGCCTCGCTCA